AAATGTGTTAACTGCCTCTTTTGTAGATGAGTCTTGAACAGCTTGAGTTTGTTGACAAATGTGAAAATACTCTGCACCAGGTCAGACACCATCTTTGACTTCCCTTGCAGATCCACATTGAGGCCATTCAGATAATGCAGCATGTCGACCAAATAAGCCAAGTCCGAAATCCACTGGGGATCCTGTAGCTCAGGATAGTCCTTGTGTTTCTCTGCAAGGAACAGCTTCACTGGATTTAAAAGCTCAAAAAAACGAGAAAGCACATTACCTCTTGAAAGCCATCTCACAGCACAGTGAAGAAGCAGATCAGATGGAAGATCTTCATCAAGTTCAGCAATTAGATTTTTGAACTGCCTGTGATTGAGAGCATGTGTGCGTATAAAATTGACTATTTCCAGCACAGGTTTCATGATGTGATCAAAGTTCAACTTTTTAGACACCAAGTGCTCTTGGTGGATAATACAGTGAAATGTCCAAAATTCAGGAAACCGGTCATCAGCTTTACACAGCCCTACAAGGCCTTTCCCAGATCCCAACATGGCTGGTGCTCCGTCAGTGGATATTGCTGTTAGCTTTGATAACTGCAGATCTGCTTTCTCAACAACAGCCATCAGTGTCTCTTTTATGTCGATGCCACGGGTTCTGTCTTTAAGTGGCACAATGTCAAGCAGCTCTTCCTTAATTGTGCAGTCTTCTGACACAAATCGTACAAATATCGCCAACTGTGGCTTATCTTGAACATCGCAAGACTCATCCAAAGCAATGCTGAAATACCGGCACTTCTGCAGATCTGAATATAAATGTCTCTCAACTGAGTCGTTAATGTCCGATATTCTCTCTTCAACTGTGTGCCGTGACAGCTGAAGGTCCTTTACTGAACGTTTCAAATTTTCATTTTCAGGACAAAGAATAGCAACAACATCACTAAGGCACTTTTTAAGAAATTCCCCTTCACGATATGTTTTTTTTGCACGAGCAATGTTCCATGCCAGTTGATATGACGCTAATGTCACTGTCTCTGAATGCTTGGTAAATTTCCGAAAAAGCTGACTTTGCTTCTCTGTCTGACATTTCAAAGTGTTTACCTTGTGCTTGCGAAGTTCACTGCCTTTGGGAAAATCCCGGGCGACCGTAGAATGGAGTGATGTGAAATGGCGCTCAAGATTTGAAGCCTTAAAATGAGACAACGACGTCTGGCATATCAAGCAGAATGGTTTTCCATTTCGTTCAACAAAAAAATATAAATCCTCCCATTCAGATAAAAATGTTCTGTGCTCATCTTCATATTTGCGCTTAGCTGTATGCTTCTTTGATTCTGCCATGATAATTCATACTAACGTACTTCACGTTAACCTGACAGCGGCAGCTCCTGTCAGTCAACAATAGGCTAGCCACGTTAAATTACGCGAGAGTTGAGGTTCTGTTAAAAATATTTAAGGAAAAAATATTAATAATATATTATTTTAAAAAGTACAATTACATTCAGAAAATACATTTCAAGTCATTCCTATTTATTTTTAAATAAAATTAAGAAATTCAAAAAAAGCTGAATGAAAAGTGATTGAACCGACTGAACCGACTGAACATGACTGAACCGAGCCGCAAAAAAGCAGTTAAAGAGCCGCACGCGGCTCGCGAGCCGCGGGTTCGCCACCCCTGGTCTAGAGCCTCCATTGTTGCACTCAGGTCTAAGTCTCATGGCCCTCTATCAGAATCCAGAGTTTTGAGAAGATTGGGGATACTAAATTTTTCGCCCAAAAAAAAAACGTAAGGGGTAACACTGTCGTTTTTTTTTTCTGGTCGAAATTTTGAATTTCGATATCTCAGCTCTGGAAGGGTCTAGAGCCTCCATTGTTGCACTCAGGTCTATGTCTCATGGCCCTCTATCAGAATCCAGAGTTTTGAGAAGATTGGGGATACTTAATTTTTTGCCCAAAAAAAAAAAACGTAAGGGGTAACACTGTCGTTTTTTTTTTCGGGTCGAAATTTTGAGTTTCGATATCTCAGCTCTGGAAGGGTCTAGAGCCTCCATTGTTGCACTCAGGTCTAAGTCTCATGGCCCTCTATCAGAATCCAGAGTTTTGAGAAGATTGGGATACTTAATTTTTCGCCCCCCAAAAAAAAACGTAAGGGTAACACTGTCGTTTTTTTTCGGGTCGAAATTTTGATTTTTCGATATCTCAGCTCTGGAAGGGTCTAGAGCCTCCATTGTTGCACTCAGGTCTAAGTCTCATGGCCCTCTATCAGAATCCAGAGTTTTGAGAAGATTAGGGATACTTAATTTTTCGCCCAAAAAAAAAAAAACGTAAGGGGTAACACTGTCGTTTTTTTTTACGGGTCGAAATTTTGATTTTCGATATCTCAGCTCTGGAAGGGTCTAGAGCCTCCATTGTTGCACTCAGGTCTAAGTCTCATGGCCCTCTATCAGAATCCAGAGTTTTGAGAAGATTGGGATACTTAATTTTTGCCCAAAAAAAAAAACGTAAGGGGTAACACTGTCGTTTTTTTTTTCTGGTCGAAATTTTGAATTTCGATATCTCAGCTCTGGAAGGGTCTAGAGCCTCCATTGTTGCACTCAGGTCTATGTCTCATGGCCCTCTATCAGAATCCAGAGTTTTGAGAAGATTGGGGATACTTAATTTTTCGCCCCCCAAAAAAAAACGTAAGGGGTAACACTGTCGTTTTTTTTTCGGGTCGAAATTTTGATTTTCAATATCTCAGCTCTGGAAGGGTCTAGAGCCTCCATTGTTGCACTCAGGTCTAAGTCTCATGGCCCTCTATCAGAATCCAGAGTTTTGAGAAGATTAGGGATACTTAATTTTTCGCCCAAAAAAAAAAAAACGTAAGGGGTAACACTGTCGTTTTTTTTTTCGGGTCGAAATTTTGATTTTCGATATCTCAGCTCTGGAAGGGGCTAGAGCCTCCATTGTTGCACTCAGGTCTAAGTCTCATGGCCCTCTATCAGAATCCAGAGTTTTGAGAAGATTAGGGATACTTAATTTTTCGCCCAAAAAAAAAACGTAAGGGGTAACACTGTCGTTTTTTTTACGGGTCGAAATTTTGAATTTCGATATCTCAGCTCTGGAAGGGTCTAGAGCCTCCATTGTTGCACTCAGGTCTAAGTCTCATGGCCCTCTATCAGAATCCAGAGTTTTGAGAAGATTGGGGATACTTAATTTTTCGCCCAAAAAAAAAAAAACGTAAGGGGTAACACTGTCGTTTTTTTTCTGGTCGAAATTTTGAATTTCGTTTTCTCGGCTCTGGAAGGGTCTAGAGCCTCCATTTTTGCACTCAGGTTTAAGTCTCATGGCCCTCTATCAGAATCCAGAGTTTTGAGAAGATTGGAGAAACTTTATTTTTCGCCTGAAAAAAAAAACGAAAGGGGTAACACTGTCGTTTTTTTTACGGGTCGAAATTTTGATTTTCGATATCTCAGCTCTGGAAGGGTCTAGAGCCTCCATTGTTGCACTCAGGTCTATGTCTCATGGCCCTCTATCAGAATCCAGAGTTTTGAGAAGATTGGGGATACTTAAAAATCCACAAGCAAGCATTACTTGCATGGTCTTTAATCTTTAAACACAATTTTTCCCCTCAACATTACTTCATTTGGAACAATCAAAATATTGTATATAAGAAGAAATCTTTGTTTTTTAGTAATTGGTTTGAGAAAAATGTGTTGACTGTTTCCCAGTTACTGAATTCTGAAGGATATATTTTAAAATATGAAGAGTTTTTATGTAAATTCAATTTCCCAGTCACTCCCAAGGAATTTTCCATTGTAATGGACGTGATTCCTAATGGAGTTGTTATGCTTCTAAAGGACTCTGTTAGATCATCTGACACTTTTCCTCAGTTAGACCCATTTGAACACCCAATAGGAAAATTATGCTTTCTGTCAAATAAATCATCACTTAATATTAGAATTAGATCACTCTTTCAAAAAGAGCTTGTAACAATTCCATATTTGGCTTCATATTGGATGAATTTATTTGATCATATTGATTGGAAAAAAGTATGGACTCTGCCTTTAAAATATACATAATAACTAACAAGATTAGAGAAATTTCTTTTAAATTATTACACAAGTGTTACCCTGCTAAAGCCTTTTTGAAAAGATTTAAGTCAGATCTAGACACTAAGTGTTCTTTTTGTGGCGCACCTGACGAGACTGCTCTCCATATATTCTGGGACTGTCCTCATACACAGTTATTTTGGGTTGAATTTTCTAATTTCATTAAACACAATGTGCTTCCGGGTTTTTCCTTGATCACATGAAGGTTAGAAACATTAAATCTGAATTAAATCTGAACTTCTGCCCCTTTTTAACAAAAATCCCAAATCTCCTATTTTTGTATAAGGCGTAGCTGTTGGATAAATACATTCTGGAATATTCAATATTCATGATTTGTCCTGTGTGGCCTCAAAAAGTTTGGACAATTCACCCACACTTAAAATGTATGTCACTGGATAAATTATTCAACTAAGTGGCATCTGCAAACAAATGACGCTAGAGCTCTGTCAGAACTTCTTTCTCTGAGCCATTTTTGCAATTACATTTAGCCGGTGAATGTGTAAGTCAAGATCACATGTGCATCACAGTGTTGCATTTGTAGAATTGTAGAAAAATTAAACATGTCTTTATGCTTCTTAGTTCTTACTGAAAAGTGATGTCCAGAGGGGATCTTTGTTTTTTATGACCCTACATTTTCTAGGCCTGACATATTGACCTATGTTTTAATAATCTTAATACCTAAATACTTTACAAACCCATGCACATATCAATGGCATCACTAGACATTAGTTTAATGTTCGCGAGAATCTGCTGCTCTCGGCCTGCATGACATCATAATAGAACGTTGTTGCCTTGACAATATATATAATATATAAAGGGTGAAACTCACTGTTCCACTTTGTAGCGAGTTAGGAGTTCAGGTATCAACATTGTTTTTGCAGTTTTTACGGTGTGTTTGCAGTTGTTGATAGCGTTTATCGAGTTGATAATGGGACAGCGACAGTGTCGTAGAGTGGGAGTTGAGGGAGGAGGTGAGTGTGTGCACGGGATAAATCCCGGAGCAACACCGACACCCACCGACCACAAGGCGGAGCTCCATCCTCGGCCTGACGAGACGCCTGTGGACATCGGTGAGAGAGGCGGGCAGAAAGAAAAGAGACAGAAAAAGAGGAGATTTCGGAAGTTTGCCTCTTTTTTCTTTTGTTCGTCGCTCCCCAAATCCACCAAAGCTCAGGATGAGCAGGTGGAGCAGTGTGAGGTGGACCAGGACACTGGTAAAACCCCATCCAGGAGGTGTACTGATGGTAAATGATAATCTCTGAACAACACAAGCTCTCTTAATCAATTTCACACAATATAAAAAACCCACATCACGACCACACATTATGAAAAGGCAGATAAATGACTTTATTCGCGATGTGATGAATGTTGACACTTTCATCAGACGCGTTGCCATGGTGATGAGCTGGCCCAAAGTTAACTTCCATTCTGTTTGTTTATTAGTGTTTACTGGATTATATGGCATTGACTACAAACGCAGTGAAAGTTAAGGTGATGAGCAGGTTGATGAGCTGTGGGGTGCAACCTGACCTAGGGAGCAAACGCCATTTTTTAAAATAAAAATGTTAAGGTTTCCTAACAGTAACAAAGAGGGAGACGGCGGTATTAAAATAGCTATGTTTATCTGAGTGATATCCGGTACAGTGTTTCCCATACATTTGATTTATTAGTGGCAGCCCAGTATTATCAGCGCTGACCGCCACATATTGATTTCCGTGTTTTTTACAATTTAAGATGGGAAAATTTGTAGCTAGGCCTATTTGACTGCAGAGTGTCTCTCTCTCTCTCTCAATTCAATTCAATTCAATTCAAAGGGGCTTTATTGGCATGAAAGTTTTTCAAACAATGTTGCCAAAGCATATACAACATATACAAATACTCTATACACATATATATACATATACACACATACACACACACACATGCACATATACATACATAAACACTTTATATATACACTCTCTCTCTCTCTCTCTCTCTCTCTCTCTCTCTCTCTCTCTCTCTCTCTCTCTCTCTCTCTCTCTCTCTGCACGCTGCACAGATCCATCCAACATGCTATCAATGTGGAGACCCACCTTGAAAAAAGGTTATTAGCAAGCATGTAAGAAGCCTAGCTAATAAGGAGAGCTATGTAAACCTAATAAAACCACGCCGCGCTTGCCACAGTTTTTTAACAGTGTGGTAAATCAGACACGTCGGTAGAAAAACAATCTTGTTTCCAATTTTTGTTCAACGGGTCTGGTAGTGTCACATTTCAGTTTGGCCAAGTAACATTTCTTTGCTTTGACTGGCAAGAAATACCAGCTAAACGTTATTTACTTGTTATGGATTGTCCGCCGGAAGTTAATTTTGGGCCAGATTAATGCACATGCGCAGTACCATTTGTTTATGTTGTTACTGCTGATATAGTTTGAAGATGTGACGCATAACATGATTTTAAAACAAGCTTGATATTCCTCTCTTTAGATCAGACTTCTTTACAGGACACCATCTTTACTGTAGAGGACAATGATCATCAGGAACCTCCTTCCAGTTGTCCTGAAGTCCCTCACACTGCCGAAAACCAGCAAGTGGAGGACACCAAGCCTCAAGATCAGGACAGTCCAGCCTGTACATCATCAGGTGACACTGGATCACATCTGCTGAGACAGCTGGACTCTGACAAGATTGTGAGGACCAAGGGTGAGTTTACTGTCTGACATCAAATATGGCACTCTCTCTCTCTTCCCAATATTATTTTTAAAGTGAATATGTATAAACGAAACAAAAGCATATATGGCAGCTGTTTTTAAGGTTTCTTTTAGGTTTTTCATTCCTCCACAATTTTAAATCACCATTTTTTTTACATTTGCATTTCACTTTTTAAAAGCACGAATATTACTAAAATATTTCCCGATTAACATTTCATCAGAAAGTATGGCCTCACTGTGGAAAGCTGCTTTATTAAACAGTAAACAAATAAAAATTATTCTGTTTTAATAGATCCCATTTGCTGGAAATATGCCATTGGCAAGAAATTGGGGGAAGGAGGATTTGGCTCTGTGTTTGAAGGGACCCGTTGCAAGGACGGCCTCATAGTAGCTGTGAAATTCACAGCGAAGACAGGGAACGAGACATACATCAACCTTGTACGTAGACTGTGCTCTCTATGTTTGCAATTTATAACATTTTTATGTAAATCATATATATTTCAATAGATAGACAGACTGGGCTAAATCCTTATTTGAGAAACCAATCCTTTATCTAAAAATAATAAAAACTGTCATTCTTCTAGCCTGACCATCCAAGACCTCTTCCACTTGAGGTGGCCCTGACAGTAATGGCTAATCAAGGCCCACACTGTAGCCATATTATTAAGCTGCTGGAGTGGCAGGACCATCTCGACGAGTACATCATGGTCCTAGAACGGCCCTTACCCTGCATGAACATGCACAGCTTCTGGAAGCTTTCCGGAAGCTGCTTCAGTGAGAAATTGGCCCGTCATTTCATGTGGCAGGTGACTGAGGCTGCTGTCCTGTGCTGTACCAGGGGTGTCCTACACAGAGACATCAAAATGCAGAACCTCCTGGTCAACACAAAGACCCTGGAGATCAAATTGATAGATTTCGGCTGCGGGGACCTCATGAAACGCTCCGCCTACAAAAACTACTCTGGTATGTGTTATGTTTAAAACATATACTTTAGGATTTAAACTCTAGTGATTAGTTACACCATGTTGAAAGCAGACACCTCACAGTGAGATATTAACAATAAACTAACAAAACTGTCAAAGAATAGTCAATCTTAATATTATTTTTGCTGACTAATAGTAAATGCCATTTAATTTCAGTTAAAGTAAGAAAAAGCTAGCTTACACATGTTACAAACTCCTATCTCCAGGCACAGAAAGCTATTGCCCTCCTGAATACTTCGAGAAGGGCAAGTACCATGGGAAGAAGGCAACGGTGTGGTCGCTGGGGGTGCTGCTGTTTGCCATGATCGGCCGCCGTTTACCAGACAGAGGAGATATCGCTTCGATGGACTCTGATGTCTGGTTCAAGCCGAACGTCTCAGATGGTTAGAACAAAAAAATATGTTCTTATGGATAATGCAGGAATCTTTCCCATTTTTACAGCTTAGAGAGCAAGTGTAAAGTTGAAGGAAATAACTAGAAAACTCTCAATCTTTCTGCACAGAATGCTGCCGGTTTATTCGAGGTTGCCTGAAGAGCAACCCAAAGCAGAGACTCCGTCTGGATAAGATGCTCTCTCATGACTGGTTAAGGTACAGTGTAAAGACGAGCTAAAATGATTTTGAAGATATATGTACATTACATTTTTGTTAACTTAGCTTGATTATCTGAATATGGACATCAGCTTCTTTACATTACCATTCAGTACCTGCTGTAACTGTCATATACCCAATCCTTATACATGGCACAGATGTATTTTTTATACCTTATGAAAAATGCTTTCTAATTGTTTTTCAGGTCATGGAAAGGGTTGCGTCTGGTGGGCTGAAACAGAAGACCACTCCATCTCTCCAGCCTCAGCGTCTTGCGGGGCTGGCTGGCCTTGGTTGCGTCTGGCGCCTTGGCCTGAGGCGGTAGTTTTAGCGTCTTGCGGAACTACTTGCCTAGGGATGTGTGCTTCTTGTAAATAGTTAGTTTAGTTTTACTTAGTTAAGTTAGCTCCTCCATCTCTCCAGCCTCAGCGTCTTGCGGGGCTGGCTGGCCTTGGTTGCGTCTGGCGCCTTGGCTTGAGGCGGTAGTTTTAGCGTCTTGCGGAACTACTTGCCTAGGGATGTTGGCTTCTTGTAAATAGTTAGTTTAGTTTTACTTAGTTAAGTTAGCTCCTCCATCTCTCCAGCCTCAGCGTCTTGCGGGGCTGGCTGGCCTTGGTTGCGTCTGGCGCCTTGGCTTGAGGCGGTAGTTTTAGCGTCTTGCGGAACTACTTGCCTAGGGATGTTTGCTTCTTGTAAATAGTTAGTTTAGTTTTACTTAGTTAAGTTAGCTCCTCCATCTCTCCAGCCTCAGCGTCTTGCGGGGCTGGCAGGCCTCGGTTGCGTCTGGCGCCTTGGCTTGAGGCGGTAGTTTTAGCGTCTTGCGGAACTACTTGCCTAGGGATGTGTGCTTCTTGTAAATAGTTAGTTTAGTTTTACTTAGTTAAGTTAGCTCCTCCATCTCTCCAGCCTCAGCGTCTTGCGGGGCTGGCTGGCCTTGGTTGCGTCTGGCGCCTTGGCCTGAGGCGGTAGTTTTAGCGTCTTGCGGAACTACTTGCCTAGGGATGTTTGCTTCTTGTAAATAGTTAGTTTAGTTTTACTTAGTTAAGTTAGCTCCTCCATCTCTCCAGCCTCAGCGTCTTGCGGGGCTGGCTGGCCTTGGTTGCGTCTGGCGCCTTGGCTTGAGGCGGTAGTTTTAGCGTCTTGCGGAACTACTTGCCTAGGGATGTGTGCTTCTTGTAAATAGTTAGTTTAGTTTTACTTAGTTAAGTTAGCTCCTCCATCTCTCCAGCCTCAGCGTCTTGCGGGGCTGGCTGGCCTTGGTTGCGTCTGGCGCCTTGGCTTGAGGCGGTAGTTTTAGCGTCTTGCGGAACTACTTGCCTAGGGATGTGTGCTTCTTGTAAATAGTTAGTTTAGTTTTACTTAGTTAAGTTAGCTCCTCCATCTCTCCAGCCTCAGCGTCTTGCTGGGCTGGCAGGCCTCGGTTGCGTCTGGCGCCTTGGCTTGAGGCGGTAGTTTTAGCGTCTTGCGGAACTACTTGCCTAGGGATGCATATTGTAAATAGTTAGTTTAGTTTTAGTTAAGTCCTGCACCATCCAATCATATTTTTGACAATGGAGTCAGCCAGAGCTCTCTGTTCAGCCCGTCCCACAAGTTCCTCGCACTGATGCCCTGGAAGTCTCTGCCACTGTTATCCGGGTTCGAGAGAAGGGGTTTCACATAGCTCTCTTTCTCAGCTGCCTTGGGCCCAGAGATCCTGTCATGGCTTCTCCAGAATTACCAGTGAAGACGGCCATAAAGTTTCCTGTCACTGCTGCTCCAAAACCTGCTAAGGGTCGACAGAATCACTGTGAAGGTTCATTCTGCTGCAACTCCAGTCCCTGCTACGGTTCTAAAGCTCCGTGTCAAAGAAGCTCAGGTTGCAAAGTTTCCCAGAGGTTCCTGACATGACTACAAGTTTCCTCCTTTTGGTGCAGAGGTTCATGCCACAGTTGCCAAAGAAGTTCCAGCCAAATTATATATATATACACCTTTGTGCCACATTAAAAACGAAACGTTTCTGAAAATAAACACGAGTCGTTTTATCTGGGGAAACATGATCATTTGGAAACATTAACCATTCTTATTATGCTCCAGTTCTAGAGACATTAAGCCTCTAGTTTTACCAGTTTCATCAGGTAAGTATTGCCAGGTAAGTGATTGACTTCTCAAAGTAGAGTTACACTAAAAGGCCCTCCATTTAATGTTTGAAGCCCAAAGTTGGAGCATCTGCAGACAAGGTCCAAATGCCAAATCTGACTTTGTGGAGGAAATAAAGCTGGGTAACCTGATAGTGGCAGATACCTTTATAGGAATATATATATATGAAATATTGATAAACATGAAATTCTATGAATAACAAATTCAAATGGAAGACATACAATTCTAAACAAAATGTTTCAACTTGCATATGATACAACTTACCTCAATGGGAAATTACCATTAGAAGAAGTGGTATTTAATTTTATAACCCTCTAAGAGATCGCAGACAGTCATAATGTAAAAATAAATTATTTTAACTCTGTTGCCTTTATGTAAAATTGCCATTGTAAAAATGAAGAATGAATTAAATTTAAACAAAGTCTGTTTTGTTAACTTTTCTATCAGTCTTTCAACCATTTTTTTTCATTTGCTAACTTATTTGGGTGTGTATAATATTTTTCTGTACTTTCAAATAAAGTTTATTTTTTACATAATCTGAGTCTGAATTTATTACACATACAATAAAAGGGATTTCTCTAAAGGACAGAAATTGCCTTTCTCCAACCTTCAGCTACAGTACCATCTTTACACAACTTCTTTACAACAAATACTCGCTGTATAATAGAGTATAACAATATGCCTTCAGAATACAATGGTTGCTTGTTTCTTAATAATTAATTTCCTTGAGGAATCTTTTGATTAAGAGGAAGAATCAAATGGGCACGTTGAAGTAGATGGACCTTCGTGAGGAAGGATAAAGATCCGGAGAGTCAAAACTGCTGTGTCATAAGGGCGTCTGATACACATAAAATTAATTCCGGTATGTACAATGTTGATGGGTCAGGGTCTGTGACTATTTACATATGGTAATTAACATGTCTACATTAATGGGTGTCTACGCCTGCTAGTTTAAGTTAGCAGGAGGTGCAGAGAGATGCATAAATGGGTGGAGCAGTAAATTTGGCAGTACTCGGGTACGGGGCACATTAGCTGTCCAACTGAGCACATGTGATCTGTGATCCTATTATTAACAATTAACAAGCGCTTTAGTAGAAAGGGATCTAATATTCAGCAAGCCCAACTTCATCAATTGTTCATTTGAGTGATCTCCAGAGTCCTTGCAATCGAGGGCAACAGTCAGGTTATGGAAGTAAGAAATATCCATTGGAAAATTGATTTTTGGCGTAAACTTATAAAAAACAGCTCTACTGTGAGCAAAAACATTGTTAATAGAAAGTTATTGCTTCTGTTGAAGCCATCATCCTGCAATATTGCAACCAGTATCTAAAATAATTATTTCTAAAATAATCGTGTTTAACAGTGGATTTTGTGGTGGAAAAACTACATTACCCATAATTTCAGGGTGATTTCTGTTCAGAAAATTCCACCAATCAGAGAGCCGCGACAAGCAAAACACGCCGAAAGAGCTTTTTAGCTCTGCTCACTGCCATGAAGCACTGAAGGATGTAATCAAGTCAGCCTCGCTATATGCACAAAATATACTTAAATATTTGTTCATAATGCTTCGTGGGATTGTAGTTCTTTTCTTCTCAATAGCAGTTAAGTACATTATTGTACCTTTGCATTTTGTCCATTTTTCAAATACCTTTTTTGATTAAAATTAAAGCGATTTGCGACGTTACAATTCACCTCATAGCTGGTTGGTTTGGTTCATTGCTCATAATACTTTAACAGAAACTTTTTAAAAGTCCCAAAAGGAAAAAATAATGGAAAAAATACTTCCAGAGTCAACACCGCTGAAAAAACAGACAGACAAACTATTATCTTCCCTCAATCCCAAAGTACATTTGAAAGATATCAGCACATCCTTTGTCATTGAGGAACTGATAAAGCTGTCCAAGGTCCATGTGGTTTCCTCTGGTCCCGTGAGGGTCAAAAATGGCTTCATGAAATCCAGTGAACTTGCGAAGGGAGTCAGTTCTCTCCTCCATCGAGCCATTTTCCAAAGGGACATCCTCTCTGTGTCGAATCATAATTCTTTTCCATGTTAAAACTTTCACCCTGAAAATACATTTTAAAAAAAAGCACCAATAATAAAATCAGCTTTAACCACACAGTAATATATAATATATTTTAAAAGATATTAAAATATAAAAGTTATTTTAAATTTTAATATTTCATTCACAAATATTACTGTTTTTAATCAAATAAATGCAGCCTTGGTGAACATAAGGGACTTCTTTCAAAACATTAATACAATCTTCTTCAACATTCTTTTCCAATATAATATAATAATGAAAAAAATTTATTAAGATGGTTTGCGTCAACCATAAAGTACGGTCAATTATTAGTTGCAGAGAACATAAAACCATTAAAATTAAAAGTTAATCTACTGTATATGAATTTGCCTATATCAGGGTTTTCAAACTTATTTTTGCAAACTGAAACACTTAAATATATGTCTAAGTTCAAGAAATGTTTAACAGTCATCTAAACACACACAGGCCCCTAACATAATAAATGAGATCCTCACAAGTATAGTCAAACGTACACACACACACCAACACAAACAAATCTATTTTAAATTAGGTATTATTAAACCCGTCTTTGGTATTTAGAGTTGTGTTCACAAAAGAATAAGTGTAGACCCTACTGATTTGGTTTAGATTTCAATTCATACCTGGCCCAGAACTCATCGCAAGCAGACTGCAGACCCTCCACACACACAATACCAGGCTTTCCCGGCATACTAAACCCAGACAGGTTCAGCTCCTTGGCCCATTCCAGAATGTTCTTCCTCTTCATCTTGTTGTAGATATGATGGCTGTAGATCCAGAGTCTAGTGAAGGTCTCTTTTGACTGTATTGAAACATTTTCCTTCTTGGGATCACGGACAGGGGCACTTTTACTGATATATGCTTGTGCATTTTCATTGATCCACTGCACAGCGGACAGAATACACACATCACCACTGCAGTTTTCAGATAGGTAGGTGTTGAGGTTGGAGTGAAGCAGCATCTGCTGTGATCTACTGATCTCAGAACATCTGAAATGGGCAAAAAATTATAATCCTAGTAAAAATTCAGAAGGAATCCAATTGAAATATTTATAACAACTTTGATCCTAAAGGGAATTCAGATCCAGCCCTGGAGGCACTCAGGGTTCGTACAGATTTATAAGAGTCGAAGTCAAGCACTAAAGTAAAGGCATTTGTGGTGATTTGTATGATCAACATAGGCAAATAGCAAAGACATTAAGTGAGAAATCCATAAAGCATGTTTTATGTATTAAATTAAAGCATGTTTGCATACAAGTCTGTATTTTACAATTACAATTACAATTCTGTAATTCTGTATTCTATTGTGCATTTTTGTTAATTTTGAGGAATACTGAATCTGAATGTTTGGTGCGTGTCAGAGGAGAAAAAACACTTGTAGAAAACAGCATCTGTCTTCTTACTATATTTAAACAGCATAAACATACATTTTGCAATGAATCGTTTCACAAACCCATACAGATTTTTTCTTATTCTAAAATAAAAATAACTGCCTTATTGAATTAGCTACAGGCTATTGCTATTATTATGTATTCATTTGGAAATTTTTGTTTAATAAAAAGTAAATTAATGATATAAAAGCAACAGAAAAATCACACACATATAGATTCATCAACCAATTTCAGAATGCATTGCAAATAGTTGTGCAAAGTAAATGAGTGTACTAAAGATTTTACAGTGTCAGTCAAGTCAAATCCCCTTCATATAGTGCTTTTAACAATATAGATCGTTTCAAAGCAGCTTCACAGCGATAATTGGAAATTAAAGTAACAGATTATTTTGGCTTTACAGCAGCTCTTGAATAAAGTCATTGTTCAGCTTAAGTAAATTCTTGATTGATTCACTTCCATTGGAAAGATAATTAGTTAACTTGTTTTAAATGAAAACTTTTAATGCATTCTGGCCTTTCATTGGCATGACAGCAGTGTTTGGTGTCTAACGCTAGAACAGCTAAACGCATTGCCTAGATTTCAGTATTCCACACGCTTATCTTTACATGATGGAAATAAAATTTTAAATGATTTCTACTGCATGTAGTAGCATTTTAAGTTTGAATAAAAATCAGTTTCATGCTACATTTAGGGTGGTTGGTAGGACTTGATTAGCGCAAAAATCAATGTCTTATTTTTGCACTGTTTTTAGCTTTAGTGTTTTTTTTTATTCCTAAATGTTCTTGCTTCAATGATGAGTACTTCTACGTGTGCTTGCATGACATCAAAGTAAGGAGACTCACAATGCACATGTCATTTAAGGGTCATATTATTCAGTCATATTTTCTTCTTTTGAGATCACACTGGACGTTCTAAGAAAAAAATAATCAAGCATTTACAAGGAAGATGTTCAAAATATAAGCACATTTTAAACCTTGAAAACGTAATGGTTAAAATCAAAGGAATTTTTAAAATTCTATCTGTAACCAGGAGGCTATTATTATTTCCAATTGGACAAAATATTACTGGAGGACATCAAAAGACATTTAAAGAATTTTTTGTTAATGTCACTTCACAGTGCATTAACGAACTAATGTAAACAACTTTTGATTTGAAAAATGCATTAGTAAATGTTGAAATTAACATTAACAAAGATTAATAAATGCTGTAGAAGAGCGGTTCATCATTAGTTTATGTTAATGTAATTAGCTAATGTTAACTAATGAAACCTCATTGTAAAGTGTTACCGATTTAAGTTTAATTCAGTGCTAATTTATTTCACTTTTGAAGACTTATTCCCTGAGGGTATACTGTCGGCCCAGATCCGACCCACAACGTACCAGATGTGGGCCGACACTGTTGCTGTCTGGGTTTGATCCCACTGGAATTCTTCAGGACTATTATCAAATTATCATAGAAAGCCCAATAGAAACTGTCAGTGTGTATTCAAGTATGTCACGGAGTAAACAATCAATCAAAACAGCTTATGAAAAATATGGTGTGCACAAGACTGACATGACACCTTCATAATCATGACATGATACATGTCGTGAATATGAAGGAGGTTTTATGCATGTTTATGACAACTGTCTGTTTTTAATGCAAATATGACATTGTTTGAGATGTCTGTTATGACACCTTGACATAAACCAATACATCGTAACCTGTCATAAATATGTAACGTCACATTAAACTGTCTTGTGGTTGGTTTTGACGTCATGAGGCCATTATAACTGTCATGAATATTTTTCTTGGCCTATGAATATTTTTCATGAGACCATTATAACATTTTAATGACAAATTCAGTTTGTGCCACTGTAGGGCACAAATTGAATTTGTCATTAAAATGTTATAATGGTCTCATGACAGCTAATGTCAAAACCAACCACCTGACAGTTTAATGTAATGTTAACCCATAAAGCTAAGTGGTTCCTTAAGTTTGATAAATAATCTGCCATGTCATGTTTATGACATATTTATGTCAGGTTGTTTTGTCTTAGTAACGTTGTCTTAGTAAGTTGTCATGGCCAAGAAACGGCAGGTTATTATGTATTGGTTTCTGTCAAGGTGTCATAAAAGACATCTCAAAACAATGTCATATTGCATATATCATAATTGAGCGAATGACACTTAATGATATTTGTCATAAACCCTCCTTCATATTCATGACCTGTGTCCTGTCATGATTATGAAGGGGTCATGACAGTCTTATGCAAGTAAAGTGTTCCCAAAAATGGTAATTGGAAACTCAAAATATTGAAATACCTGACAGTGATATCTGGCAACACTTTCGGGTAGTCAGCTGGATAAGTGCACAACAACGTAATGCTCACCTATCAGAAAACAAAGATTGACATACTGTAGTAGGAATTCAATGATGAAGAACAAAGAGTGCATTTGAATGTATTTCCCACACTTACTGCAAGGTTCTCCACCTTCAGCTTGATGTTGAATTGGGGTCTGGAACTGGGGGGAGTGTGAGCGGAGCCCTCCACGTAAGCCCTGAGCTCTGCATGGGAGAGCTCGTCCACTTGTAACTCTTCTTCACTTGGAAACATGCTTAATAGCAGATCTATCTCTGCTAATTGTGCCTCTGCTTCCTCTGAGCAAGTCATATTTCCAACATTTGTTTCAAACTCAAATCCAATGTGCTTGCAGAGTATTTGTCCACACACTTCTGCCAAGACTACATAAAAATAAAATAAAAATAGAATTAGTGGTTAGAATGGACGCAAGCATAATTCATAATTACATTTTCACGTGCCATTATAGAATTTCCCCACCTTGAAATGCCAGTTATTTTCACCAGTTTTGTACCAACATACTAAAAGACTAAATTTTTATACAGGCGAACCGATACGCCCAGAACAAGAACTCAACGTGCTAACTAAGCTTTTTCCATAGAAAGCTATTATAAAGAAAATGCCTAATGCATCAAAACAGTGACGGTAGAAATCATGACACTTTCATTTTCTTAAAGCTGCAGTCCAGCGTTTCTCATCTTTGTCGCCATCTCTGTTCGAAATCTGCAATTGCAGTCATTCGCGGAATTATCTTTACACGAGTTGTACTTCGACACCCTCGACACGGCACAGCGCGGATGAACACAATGGGTCTCATTCATGAAACGTTCGTAAATATACGAGTAAATATGAGAGTGATTTGCGCGTAAAGAGACCTTCCCGAAAACTCTTCTCCTGATTCACAAATATTTCGTAAACGTCAGATGTGATAGTGAAATGTGTGTGTGTTAATGAATTTCAACCAGTCGTAAATGGGATGCGCGTGCAGGTTCATTCTCAATTACTATAAATCCCGCCCATTATATCCGACTGATATCTATATATAGGGAGGGATATAATAAAATGAATGCGAATGACAAAGAAAGATTTCTCCGATGCAGAAATTGAAGTTTAATTATCAGCAGTTCGTTCAAAACGCCACATTTTATTTTTAAGCGTAGCCTATAGTGGCGTATCAGGTCCTAAAAAAAGGAAGTTTGGCAGCATATTACAGATGCAGTAAATGGTTCGACATTAAGCTTGACAGCAAAAAACGAATTAGTTCACTTCGGAAAAATCATATTCAAACGGGAGAAGGACCGCCATCGATCACCAGATCGGTTATTACTGGTTCTCATTATAAAAGTAAAAAGAAAAAAAAAACGTATGTAATTACTATATAAAATATTTTTTTTTCAAAATGCTGTTTGAATATGTACCCAAATAAGGTGAATTAAAATTCAGCCTTATTAATGAGCAAAACATTTGGATGTGTTAAGCGCACCATTTACGTGTGGCTGGGAGCAGGTGTAGATTTTTTGCGTACCAACTAACATTTGGAAAATACAAACATTTTAATGAATCCGAAAATTTACGCCAGAACCACTTTACACACGATTTACACAAAAATTCCTTCTGCTCGTGTTTCATGAATGAGACCCAATGTTTGAGGTGAGTGTACAGCTGTCAGTCACCGCGCCGGTTTGGATACTTTCATTCATAATCACAGATTATTATTTTTGGAAGTATGACCAACAAAAGAATTTTCACCGGAAAATATAATCTGAACAAGTAAGAAACAGCCACTTTTGTTCTGGTTCTGACATTGCAGTAAATCGCACTGATTAAATCTAACAATTGCTTATAAGTTATCATATCACACAAAACCGTGCAAATTATACATTGTTCTCAAATGTTTAATGTTAACAACGTATAGTATTGCATGACTAAATGTAATGTCCTTCCGATCTGTATCCTTGTTTTCGCATGGATCCGATTGCAGTCTCTTTTTTCGGTAGCCAATCCGAAGTCCGAACAAGTCTTTTGCATTTTACAGCGGGTGAATCTGTTGTCACTGGTGACTGTCGTTTTAACCTTTCTGTATTTAACCTTTCTGTAACCTTTCTGCCATCAAATTGATGAGTTTAAAAGGGTGATGAACTAAGAAATCAAAGTTCCCTTGAGCTTTTGACATCTAAGAAGTCATCATATTATAAAAATATCCTGCAAGTTTCAGAACTGAAAACGCCCTTGTTAGTCCAATATAAGCTTTTATTGACACCAGCCTCAGCAAACGACTCGTTTTTCAAAGTGGGGAACTATGACGTCAAAGAGGATAAAACACCACCCCCGCAGAAGAAGATCAACGCCTACTTCAACATGGCGGGTTTAGCCCCGCCCACCGATTCGCGCATTACACGCATAGCTAAATAACATAGATGCCTAGTTATTGTAATCATGAGCTGGTGCCTACCTCGTGATGACAAACCGGCTCGAGAGTGAAACTCATTATAATATGCAAAACTGTTATCCACTCACAGCAGTGGGCGTTTACTTCCAAGTCTTCAATGCGAGACGCCCATAAAAACCGAGCGTTTTTCAGCTAGGCTCAAAACTAGGGTAGAAAATAGCCTTGTTTTTTTTATGTAAAAACAAAGCGAACGTCATATTTGAAATGATTAAATGACCCCTTGAATCATTTCAAGTGCTGTGAGAAAAGGCTATAAATCTCCACCTCCAGCATCCTCACACGCAATATAGCCTACTAGCTGAGACTCTTTTTTTATGTGTAGATGTGACGCAAGGACTCAAAGACATGCTCAAATCTTCTGCGGAAATCCACCAGTACCACTGGAATTAAAAACATTATTACAAGCTTACCTCTTTGAATCGAGGTAAAGCAAGCAGATAGTTTTGAACACTGGTTATGTATTTTGGATCATTTTTAACCCCAAAAAAGCTACGTACAGCAGCTTTAAAAAAAGATTGTATGAATTACACCATAATGATTACACCCATAAGTGATCTTAAGCGAAGTCTTTAGTAATGAGTAATATGATTACATTTTTTTAATAGACTGCATTCAAATCAGAACATGTTTTGTATATTTGTGTATTCAAAATCGACAATTTAAGCAAACAAAAATCATGATTCTCGATACCCATAATTGAGCAGCTCTAATATTTAATATCATATTTTAAAATTACGGTCTTAGTTGCATTAAGGCACGTTATTAATTTTTCCACATTAAGCTTATTAGAATGTCCTACTGTTTTAGTCTTTGAATCA